TGATATTTTTTTTTTTTTTTTTTTTTTTTTTTTTAAGGAAAATGGAGAGGTATTATTTCATGAACACGCATGTCTCACTTTGCGGATTATTCTCCACAAATGAAAGGTCGAAGAAAAAAAAAAGAAAAAAAAAAGAAAAAAAAAAGAGAAAATGAAATCCTATGATTTCGCACTTGTGACATGTTGGTTAATTGCATGTGGTGGAGTATCGTTGCATACGTTGTGTTTACTCTGTAATAGTAAGAATGAAAACAGAAGCAACTTTCTACAAGCTCGTTATGGCTCTATTTGTTACATCTTTTAAAAAGTAATTATGTAGCTCACACATTAATTGGTTATGTTTTTACTATTTCTATTAATAAGTTCTGACTTGATTCAATGTCATTTTTTATTAGTCGCATTATACTCGTGACTTGAATTGTGATTAGCAAAATTATGATCATTATCTATAAAAAAAAAAAGCAAATAATAATAATAACAATAATAATAATATTAATAATAATAAAAAAATCCTTTTGAAAATAAAAAGGGAAAAAATTTTAGAATTAAGTACTCAATGAAATAACTCTGACTACAAATTCTCCAGTTTGGTTGTTCTAGCTCTTAATATGTGGTCTAGTTTAGTTTACTTTCAAATTGAATCGTTTGCTTTCTTGGTTCACAAATAGAGTAGATCAAATACGTGTTATTCATACATTTATAATAACGTCAGTACTTTTTAGTAATTCCACAGCACTTTCACTCGTGATATGAATATATAGCATGTTTTTATTATTCCCAGCAAAAGAAAAGGAAAGATTAAAGAATATATCTCTAGCTGTTTTGTAGTAGTTCAAATCCTCTCTCATGCCCCTATAAAACATATACAAGAATATTCCATTTTGAAAATGGTACCTACGTTGGAATATATTCGGACTTGGCAATAATATTCTCTTCCAGGATAGAACCTGCCTCGGTAGTGTTCCTTTTTGGGAACATTTCATGTTTAGTTCGTTGATTTGAGTTTTTAATTTGAGTTGAGATGTAACTTTATGTGAGAGTTTTTTACTGTAACAAAAAAGTTAAATGTGACTGTTTTCTGAGAGCTTTTTACTGTAGCAAAATTTGAATTCTAAACTCGAATCGGTGAAATAAACAGAGCCTTAATTATTAACATTTTAAGCGACTTTTTTGGGACCTTTAAGTTCGAAACTTTTGAGATCTCCAAAATATAGTCTA